CCGGTGCCCTATACTATCATCCAATCAGATGTATTGACACATACACTGTGTGACTGTCGTCCATTGTATTTTGATAAACGACATTTTACCGGAATAATGCGCAGTGTTATTCGAGATGGACATCTTTTTTAATCAATTAAATGTAATTTTGGGTGTATTTATGACGATAGAACAGGCATATTATGGTAATGACGTCCATGGCCGAAGTTAGATTAGTCCACAGTGGCCAACTCACCAAATCATCAAAGCAGGAAGTGTGAGATTGAGGAGATAACTCTAAAATAATGTGATATTAAATTTTGTCATCCGAGATGACACAGCGTGACACCGATATGTTGGCGTCACTGATAATTTTGTAGAACAAGGTTGTAACACTATACCGAAATTAAAAAGATTGAATATCATAAAACTGAAACATGACATGATAAAACGACCCGGAAAACTTATTGTGTACTCCACTATAACACATTAACCAGTATCCCATGCCTTTGTTTTATTAAGCATGATGAGATTTTCATGTATATAGTGGTATCGACTGCAACGCGCTTCTCCTCGTAAGATGGCAACGATTTCTGCTGTTCAAAGCGGTGGTAATAAATGACGCCGGCTTTTCCATCTTTCCATTTTAATTTGAGGATTATACTTAGATCATTGAACTTACAGAGAAAATGCACATGCATTATCCTCACGTGACACACACCTAGTAAACATGTCAATATATGTGTTGCCATATAAGTGTAATGTAGCATTGCATTTCTAAAGTTACTTCCTGGGCCATAAAGAAAACATAACTCTTACGAAATGGATTTCATATTGATTTTAATAATATCATTATACCAGCCTGAGATACTATACAATAACCAACACGCTGGAATGTTTACGTATTACGTTAACGACTGTGACGTACATGTATTACACATACGCCTGAGACGTGTTATACCTATGCACGTGACGTATTACACTGAAGTCTGAGACATGTTATACCTACATCTGTGACGTATTACACTGAAGTCTGAGACATGTTATACCTACATCTGTGACGTATTACACTTAAGTCTGAGACATGTTATACCTACATCTGTGACGTATTACACTTAAGTCTGAGACGTGTTATACCTATGCACGTGACGTATTACGCTTAAGTCTGAGACGTGTAATACCTATGCATGTGACGTATTACACTGTGACGTATTACACTTAAGTCTGTGACGTGTTATACCTATGCACGTGACGTATTACATACACATAAGCATGAAACGCGTTATACCTTCGCTTCTGACGTATTACACCTACAACTGAGACGTGTAATACATGCGCTTGCGGTGTATTATACACCTCAGACACGATATACCTATGCATGTCACGTATTTTACATACGCCTGAGACGCTTTATACATGCATCTACATTTGTGACGTTTTACACCTACGCTTGAGACGTGTTATACATACTTCTATGACGTATTACAACGAAGCTTGAGACGTGTTATACATACTTCTGTGACGTATTACTCATTCGCCAGAAACGTTTAATACCTACGCCTGTGATGTATTACACCTACGCTTGAGACGTGTTATACATACTTCTGTGACGTATTACACATTCGCAAGAGACGTGTTATACATACTTCTGTGACGTATTACACATTCGCCAGAAACGTGTATACATACTTCTGTTACGTATTACACCTACGCTTGAGACGTGTTATACATACTTCTGTGACGTATTACACATACGCTTGAATCGATCCTGACAAATCTGGCAGCTGATGATATTACGAAATATAATAAACCATTCAAATGATTCTTTAATCCGGACTGACATGATTTGCAGATATGTTTTTTCTGGTTTCCGGATCGAATTTTGGTTTCGCGTAGTTGAAATTGGTTAAGAAACTTCCAAAATTATCAAACCTGTCTAATTCGGTAAGTTTAATATTCACCATATTATTCTATGGTACGGATTTCAGATATTAATTTTTAGGTGATGAAAAAGAGTGTCTAAACCGAGCATACAGATATATAACCTGGTATCTGTTTTACATTCTATGAACTTTACATCTGTCTTATGTATGCGATATAATTTATGTAATATTTGTGTCTTGGTAAAGGAAAGGATTGCCTTGAAAATTTCACAATTCACTTGTCTGTACTGTCATTATTACTTCATTGAACACATACATTGTATAGCTAATGCAGGTTTTTCAGATACCATGAAACGTTTCCGAATGCAACTTCATGTTAGATATATATATATATATATGAGGCGGTCTCCACAAGTTATTCTATGTAGATCGAAATCTTCGCATTCTGAACCCTAAACATTCCCTGTGCAGGCACAAAACTCTTATTTCACCGTTCTCAATAAATACAACACAATGCCATTGAACATAACACCATGAAACTCTCTAATCCGTTGCATTAGTCGTCTCCGTAATATCCGGATTGATGAGGATCTTCTATGTTTAACCGGACGTGTATGCAGGTAAATATGGAATATGATATAAAATGTACCAAAAATATCTCTTGAGCACACAAAATTGAGATAATTTAAAAAACAAATATTGAGTATCATATAACCAAATCGCCAGATGTGTGAAATTGTAAAGAGGCATTTCTTTTTATAATTGTTTATTTGTGTACCTTTTATCTAAACACATAGGAATTAGTCAATGCTGTATAAACAGGTACGAAACTGCGGTATATAAGTGGTCCCGTGATATTTAAAAATAATGGAGCTAAAAAGTATAATGACAACCACTATTCAAGACAAACTGAATGGTATATAGACTGGTCCTATTATCGGACAAAGCGTTATTTGGCACAGTGGACTTGATGCATGCTCTTAAGTTAACACTAAAAACATGCGCTATAAACTGCAAATAAAAATCCTTCATTCTGCTATAACAGTCTGAACTATGTCAAAGAATTCTTTCTGGGCGTTGTTGTCGCAAATCACAATCCTTTAGTTGGCAGATGAATGTCCCCACAGAATCTAAAAAGGCAAATGAAATTAAAAGTTGAAAAAAGCATTTAAGAAAATATAAAAAAGAAAGATTACTTCCTTCTGGATGATAAGAACACGAGAAGGCTTTCAATGTAACGATTACCAGATAGCAGGAGTCAGATTGCTCTGACAGACTAGAACTTACCACATTACCATTATCGTCGACCAAATTTTTCAAAAAAAAAAAGAAAAAAAACCCCAAAAAATCGAAGAAAACCTGAATTATCAACTACCTATTATTGTCAACGGAAACAATAAGTTAACCCGTGGGAGTTTCCAGATGGAGAATTGCGTCGTTAGAAAGTTAGGTTAAAGGAAAACAGACCGCAACTCCCAGAAACCAACAGGAAGCACCTTGGTAATTGGGATGTGCATGGAAAACTGCTGGTATTGTCAGAAAATGAACAGCCTGATGCTTACCGGAGTTGATCATGTTCAGGAAGCAGTGTGTTTCCTTGGCAAATTTCTTATACAGATTATGGGCAGAGGTAGAGAGAGCATTCAGGGAAATTAACACAGCATTAAAAACCATGGTTTTATCTCGAAGGAAATTTTAACAAAACGTCACTTAACCCCGAGAGAAAATCTACATACATAACAAGACAAGATACAAAATCGTATTCAAGGCTTGAGATCGATAGAACACCTCGTCTTTACTGAGAGAATGACGTAAACAAGCCAGTGTGAAACAGCCTAAAGCAACTCCTAGCTTTGCGTCAAATTATTCGCCTATTAGCTTTTGACATCAAATGGTGATGTTGTCACATATTACTTCTTTTTCCTTAAACTTGCGCCAAAAATGTGAAATTAGTCAATTTAAGATGGCTTTGGATTACTAAATTAGTTCATTTAAAATGTCAATAAACAGTTTAAAATTGCACAGCGTTGTATTTTAACATAATTTTGTTAATTCAAAAAAAAGCCGTTTCGGATCAATAATCCCATGCAACATGCGACATATTCATAACCAGAGAGGACTGCAAACTCTAACATTTTAAAAATTCCTTTCCCATTTCTAAGCCCATTTTGGACCAATAAAAAAGAAAATATGCATTGAAGTCTGGATAATGTATGACGTCTTCCTCTACACATGAAATATTTCTTTAAATCAATATGACTTATCAATAAATTTCAAATAAATCACTTAAATGAAGTATTCCGGCTTATTGGGGATCAGAACCAATCCAACTGTATTATATTCAATACACAAATGCGAATTTGACGTAACTAGAATGATCTGGAATCCTAAATTCAGAAAATAGTTCTTACTGACATAAAAGAAAAATGAATTTTATCTCTGTAATTTTGTTGAATGAGAGTATAGTTTTTTGTTTTGCTTTAGAACTTACCATGACGACGGGGTACCTATGACAACAATTATCAAAGACGTCATATCCGGTCTCAAATCCCGAGGCGTACCAGCGGACAAAACGTGCCTGAAATAGCAATACAACACTCTTGGTTAGTCAAACGCATTTGTTTTCATTACTTCCTGAAAGTAAAACATTCTCCTGTACCGAAAGGACCTTAATATACTTGCAAAAACGACAATTTTACACGTAGTGGGTCGATAGGCCTATGTCTTATCTCCGTGTTAAAAAATGGCCGCTCAAATTCATGTTTAGTCTGATTAGATATGTCCCTTGTCGAGATCTTAGCTCGTTTTACTTATTTCTAGGTTGTGTACTCTGGCTCCTGTTAACACGAGAAATCGGTCGTTTACAATGGTATATTTACCTCGACTGCAGAGTGCTCCTGTCCGCTGGACGCCCCGACCTCCGGTTTTTGATTTTATAGACTCACATCCGGTATGCTTTTAAACTTCACTTCCTGTTCTTTGACAACGTTTACAATTTCTTCTTCCTTGTTCTGCTTTGCTACATAGCTTTAGATTATATTTTTTTATGTTAGAAATTAAATAATATCACAGAAACTTATCACATTAAAAATTACGAAACATTAGTTTGTTTTGATGTAGAAAATTATTATGTTTTAACTATATCACACTGTCTTTCAGGTGTGCTGTAAAATCATCGTCCATTGTGTGGATACCGGAAGTAGATCCACTATCGTCTTCAATGGAGGAAGACTTTGTTCCAAAATGGAACGTTTGAAGAGGTCTATGCACAGCGTAACTACTTCCGGTGTCGCCTTGGTAACGCGGGTTGTTAGGGGCGTATGGTGGGTAAGCAGTAAACCTTGGCAGTGATATCGGGGAGATTGGTTCACGCCCGTCTGGGAAGAATGCATTTTGGTTCTGGTACACGTTCACCTCCATATTTGGTTTACTTTTAGGGACCACTGAAAAGAATTTTCAAAAAGTATATGTTCATGTCTGTCTAGTTGCAGTAAAGCTTTACAACAGCGAGGCCTGAAGACATACGTGTCTCAGTGTAATTGATTTAAGAGACTTTCGCAGACGACAGATCCTTCGCTGACTTAAATATTTCATCGTTAATTTGAAGATAAAATTTTGATATATTGAACAGCTGCTATTTCTTGTTTTGAGATAATATAAAGGTTGAAAGGCGATTTTACTTTCGGCTGTAATGTACACGTGTTCCTTATTGGCCTATTGTAATGTCTTCTTATCTATCGCACGTGCCAGACACGGACAGCGCGCGGTGAGAACGTGACACCGTTGTCTATTTCGTATTATCACCTGATACAAGAGATTTTTTTTCTTTATGAATATTATCTATCTCATAATGCTTTACACTGCAAATGATTTATAGGCATGTTTTTTTTTATATTCACACTAATCTGTTTTCCTAATATAACTGTTTTTGCGTTTCACTGGTCCCTTCTCTAAAATTGAGACAATATTGGCGGAAATATTGCTTCAGACCCCATGTAACGTCATTAACAGACGATGCTATTATAGCTTAGGGAACAATTTCAAACTCGAAGTACAGATATCTATGTACTGTTTTGTCGATATTTTAGCCTTGCATGTTTGACGTTTAAACGAACACAAATGAACTCTCTACAAGTAACTGAAGTCATTATCACGTGAAAAAAAATCAGCGTCCCCTATTTCTACGTTATTGTCAACTGTCGCCCCAGAGGAGTCGTTTAAAAACCATGCCCGCCTTTTGTGAAGTGGTTCTTTTAAATCTAATTTGATCTTAACTTCAATAAAACTTTTAATATCGTTGCCAACGAACGAAAATAAGCATGCTCATATCACCTTCGAAAATACCATGAATAGTTTTGAAAGGAAAAACAAAAATTAAAACAAAAACGTTCCCTTGTAGAAGGTGAGTTAACATTTATAGTTCTATCCCGAAATATGCCTTCAAATAAGATTAGATCAGCCTACAAAAAAAACATAAAACTGACAACGTAATGTACTTTGTATCGAGTACAACTGATCTAAGAAAAAAAATGAAAGTACACCCTTCGAATTTGTTAACTGCCTCGATCAAGTTTGCTTTCTCTGTTCAAGGGGTAGGAGCTTCAGACACAGTAAAAAATCACCGGTCAAGAACATGGCTATAGATTAATCACTAAGAACTCTGGATCTGCCATCGTTGCATGTTCAGCCTCTTTCCGGTTCACTTTGTACTCAACATGATCCCGCCCACTGTATATCCTCAACGACACTTTTCAATCCAGTTTTTGACCTTTGACCTTCCTCATCAACTGACTCACCTCTGCCCTTACTATAAGAACCGCCTCTTGGGCCATGAACTTCATCATCACTAAGGCCACGCCCACTGTCACTTGTATTTGTCTCCCCTGAAGTCTCGCTGTGGTTGTCATCCTGTAACTTCAGAAAAGCTTGGCTGACATGCTCCTGAAACAGAAAACAGAGCAGTAAAGAGCAGTGTGTAGGTGCAGCTTCAATCAGGATGTATGTAAAGTTTAACAAATGAGTCATTCAGTCGTTGTAGACATTGGCTTGGAGAATGAAATGTGCATTTAGATATGGTGTACTTTAATTTCATATAAAATACATTATTCCATCATGAATATGCATCTTTATACATTTGGTTCACGAAGAAGAGTTTAAAACTGCATTGGTATTTCCGTTTACGCATCTTACGGAAGATGTCGAAATATTCTCGTGTGGGGGCAATCAGCAACCTGAAAATATCGAGAGTCAACGTTTATTTAGACACATGCATGATTGGTCACTGGGTATAACAGACAGAGAGGCACGGCCAATTTCCTTTCGCTGTATGGGCCTGCATCCATTCTATTGGTACATGCATTTGCGCTTTGTTAACAATAGCTTCTATTGAATTTAAAAGACGGAAATGTTTTGATAACAAATCTCTTTCTGTTGCCTGATTTGTATTGATACATAATACCTTCAATGTAACACAAAAAAACTGGTGTTTTGGGGTTTTTGGCAGATTGTCTCTGTCCTGATCACAACACGAGCTGTAGATGCCAGTTTCTCCAATAAAGAAACACAACAGTATTAAGTGACTTTTAGAGCTGTCGTCTGCTAAATCTCACATCATCACTCTGATTAAAACTCAACACATTATCATGACCATCTCAAGGTTCTTAGGAAGACCCTGACGGAGCTAGGTATCGACTTGTGTAATTAATACCGGCGTTTAAATGTTATGGCAACTTTTATCCCAGATAATGCCACATGGCTTTCATTTGCCATCTGTAACGATTAGTAGTTTATCTAGAAACAAAAATAAATAAACAAATAAAAACAGTTTTACAAAATTCGCATTGCCATTAAAGTCGGAACGCAACGGATACACAAGAAAGACGTGTGTAATTGATTTCATGTGCACTACCTAACCAGTAAGCTGTGTTACCGCCGTGCAGTCGTAATAGGTCGTTTGCGGGGTTTTAGAAATATTGTATTTAAAAACAGTGATTCGTATACTGCAATGTTATCTTACCACTTTAAACGAATCAAACTTAATAGCATCTCGAGTAAATTATTCACAATCGAATACCCGTACTTCACATAACGCTGTTTTACGATTTCAGTGAGATTTATGTTTGGGTATATATAAATTACGTACAACTTAGGAGAAGAAAAAAAAATTAAACGGAGATGAGAAGTAAATTCTAAACTTCTCAGTTAGACGTTTAGCAATTAGTCTAATAGATGGCCCGCTGTGTTTCTTGGGAATCGTTCGGGCAATATCCAAGGGGAGATTACTCCATTCTTACGGAATGCCACAGAAAATAAATATGTGGCAAGTCTCAAGCTGGTGGGCATTTAGTAGGATTAAACACCTGTTGTTAAAATCATTATTTCTCATATGATGATTTCCTGAAATACATTTTTGAAATCACCGGGTACATGTAAATGTTTTTCAGCTATTTCATAGTACGTTCGAGTTTCAGATTTAATTTCATATAAAACATTCCGCAACATAAATAAAAAAAAAGGAGTATTCTTGGTGTAATTAATAATCTGAATTATTCATTACTAGCCTCTAGTATATAATTCCTTCTCCAGGTTCTGGAAAATCTCAAAAACATACATAGTTATGCTTGCGCTACACTTGTTCACCTGCACCCACACTCTGCCACCAGGCACATGGCTTCGATTACAACAGAATTGTTAGCTTGCATACATTATAAAACTATTCAAATTTCCTCTTCAATTCATGAGCTAACAATTCAAACTAAAACAATTAAACATGATTTTGATTAAAAACCAACGCATCTGATAATAAATACATAACCACTACATAAAACATTGGAATGATAGGGAACATGGATTTAATTCTTAGTGATTAAGTTTCTGATGCTTGTTCAAGGTTCAGAGGTCGTTTAACTATAACTATATAACTATCACAAACGGGCACATGTGGCAACCATTTTCCCCCTATTCCTCTGGGCTTGAATGATAATCAGTGATGGTTCGGCCTTGAGAATATGTTGAACAAATGAAATCGATAATGTTAAATTTAAATGTACATATTTTATAGTTTAGCTATTGGTCGCTTGGGACTCAGATTTACAAAGAGAGTACAACCATGTACGCTCAACCCAAAGCCCTAGGCAATTTTTTCGTTTTCTTTGGTCCAAGAAATTCCTAGTTAAGATATTCATATGCTTTATAGAAAACAAATATGAACTTGATATTTATAAAGCATTCGATTTCGGATCAGGTGGTAATCGGTAAATAGCACATGCGAGTACATCGCCGGAAGCGGTTAATCGGTGTTCCGGTTAAGTGACTCCGCGATGGATAAACAAGATCTTACCCTGGGGAGAGACAATCCATCACATGTTTGCCCTCGGGACTCGCCAGGTAGAACGAACGGACGTGTCATACTGTTTGTACAGGTCAACAGATATTCAATAGCAACGGTCCAATGTACCGTTATATTTAATACCGATCTAAACTCGTAATTTGAATTTCAAATCCGGAAAAGATATGATAGTTCGTACTAGGTGATTCCATCAAATATCAAATAAGACAATATTGATTTGTGAATGAAATATCGCCGATGAAATGTTTAAATAATTCCAACTTGTTTTGGTGTGTTTGCTTTATCTCGACATGTATTTAGACGTCAGTGTTTTTGCCAGTATTTTAGTTGTCCTTTGATCCATGGTGGAGCCGATATAAGCCATGGAGTGATACCACAATCCAGTCCAGTAAATTTGAATTAGTTGTGATTTCGGAATCTGGATTCCGTACTACGTTTACTAACTACATATTGACTTCTATAGCATCATTTTCTTATGCAGAATATGTAAATCGAAAATCGATAATGGAAACTAATTTCAATCGCGTTCGAATATGTTTTTGCCTCAATATAATTGATCTTTCCGCCTATTTGATGTTTAGTTGGCAGTCAAGACTAATCCAGATTTCAAATGCTGATCACTGTACACGGACTACTAGACCTATGAATTTCATTGGTCAACCTTCTTTTTACTAATTTTAACGAATCAGATGATCCCGATCATGTCTTAATTGCATTTATAGAGTTCATATTTTGGACCACTGAGTCAGTTCGTGCGAAGCATCCCATCCTCAATATGACCACATAATGTAAACAGTTACTCATACAATTACACCAGGTCATCACTATCAGGACTAGGATGTACGCACATGTTACCCGGAAACCCGGAACCAAATTTGCTCTCAGTTAGAAATACCTGACTTATTTGTACACTTCTGACAGGAACACCTACATTATGTACTAGATTAATGCGTACACAAGGAATGCACAACTAATATACAGGTCGGGAGGCGTACATATTTGTCCGGAATACCTACTAGTAGGTTAAAATGAGAAATTTATACATGAAACATAGGCTTATGTTTGCCTGAAGGAGTAAATAATGTATACCCCATCCCATACCAACCAGATAATCATATCGGTGTACTCGTATGACGGGGATTAGTAACCTTAAATATGGACCGGAATGCACAGTGCAGAACCTATATACCCGAAATCAGATATGCACAATAAAAACTTAACTAATAGCTTGGCCGGAAAGCGTTGTTATTTTATACTGAATGTGTCCGGAATATTGGCGACGAAAAAAAAAGTAACGTGTACAAACCTGTTACACGTAATACAAAATTTGATATATATGGATATGATTGTGTACCCAAAAGCCGCCCAGAACTCATCAATAAGGATCAGAAGACTATTTTAACAAACAATTTGTCCGGAACGCAAAACTAATACGTTGGTTTCCGTACCCATAAATCAACAGTAAATATAGGGACAAACAAAGTGACGCAGTCGGCAGTCCCGCGCACCTATTTCCCTAGCGACGGAATATGTAGTGTCCATAAAGTTAATTCACTGTATGTTTCAGTACGTGTATTTGCATATTTCGTTTAGCGTGGCATTTTCTAGGAAAAGAAGATTAGCTGTAATGGGGTAATAAAGTTAATGGCGAAGTTCCGTTGTAAGCTACATCTCGACAGAGCACTCTACAAATTGGTTTAGACTATTTGTGATATTAAAAACTATGCAGATAACACATTTGCCCAGAAATATGCGCCATGAGAAGTAACAAGTGAGTCCGAATGGCTATACCGGCTGGAGATTAGGTCCTGTTATCGCATACATAACGCTCGACCCCACAGCCATTGGCTAATTAATACGGGGTGATCGCGCTGTTTAGTTATAAATTGCAAGACGGAAGCATTCCCGATACATGTCCTTCGAAAGAGTGCATCCTAAAATGTCAGCCAAGTAACCATCAGCACAGAGCTAATTTCGTCAAGGGAAAACCCTTCTACTAAAACAAAATCACTTTCAGTTTCCTGGGTCTGTCCCTGTATAAACTTAATTTGAAATCATGGGGAGAAGTAGTCAATCATAATAACGATCCATTACCATAATAGCAGTATCAGTGGTCAGATGAAACTGACCACTCCCTCCAGATCGTAATTGCAACTATTTCGTGTTTTGTCTCACGGAAATGGGCGATAACTCACACAGGGTGGCGCTGTCTCACCAGCCCGCAATGTGATTGGCTATTGATCTGTCGTAAGAACGTGATTTATACAAACCAATTTCATTCTTTATTAAATGAACATCAGACGGTATCAATTATCATTTTCATCCTTGAAGGAAAAAAAAGAAATACAGGAAACGTGTAACTGCATCTGTGCCAATTCAAGGTTGGTATGAACCACGTGTGCTCCCGCCGGACACGTATAGCATGTTGACACGAGAGAACGGTCGACAGTCGCGCGGATCTTACCTTTCATATGGCGTAACTTCCGGAACTCGTCTCGCAGATCGCGTAGCATTTGTCTATACAACTGGTCAGGAAATGTTGCTGTAGAGGTCACTGGTATGTCGACAGCAAAACGATGTAACAATATCTCTT